TGCACGCGCTGCTCATCAAGGACGTGAGTGTGCCTCACCTGTCACCTGTGCTACCTGTGTCACCTGTGCTGTCACCTGTGCTATCTGTCTCCTGTGCTATCTGTGTCACCTGTGTTACCTGTCACCTGTGTTATCTGTCACCTGTGTTATCTGTCACCTGTGTTACCTGTCACTTGTGCTACCTGTCACCTGTGCTATCTGTGTCACCTGTGTTACCTGTCACCTGAGTGACCTGTCACCTGTGTTACCTGTGTCACCTGTGTTACCTGTGTCACCTGTGCTATCTGTCACCTGTGTTACCTGTCACCTGTGCTATCTCTCACCTGTGCTACCTGTTACCTGTGCTATCTCTCACCTGTGCTATCTCTCACCTGTGCTACCTGTCACCTGTGTTACCTGTCACCTGTGCTACCTGTCACCTGTGCTACCTGTCACCTGTGTTACCTGTCACCTGTCTTATTTGTCATCTGTGGTGCCTGTGTTGTTTGTGTTGTCTGTGCTATCTGTGGTACATCACCTGTGTCACCTGTGCTCCCACCTGTCCTGTATGTGTGTTTGTCAGCTCACCTGCGCTCTCCTCTGTTGTACGTTTATGCTTTTACCTGTGTTACACCTGTTGTACATTTGTTACTCCACCTGTTACAGCCGTCGTACATTTGTCACTGCACCTGTTACACCTGTTGTACGTTTCTTACTCCACCTGTGTTGCACCTGGTGTCCGTTCCTCATCTCATTTTCCCTTTCGCTGTTGTTGTGTTTCTCACCTGTGCCGTCACCTGGCCTCCACCTGTTCTGCATTTGTGTCCTCACTTGTCCCTGCCCCACACCTGCCCCAGGTGTGCCTGACCCCCTCACCTGTGCAGGTGCCGGCCACGCGGGAGGTGCTGGGCTCGCTGCCCAACGTGTTCAGCGCGCTGTGCCTGAACGCGCGGGGGCTGCAGAGCTTCGTGCAGTGCCAGCCCTTCGAGCGCCTCTTCAAGGTGCTGCTGTCCCCCGATTACCTGCCCGCCATGCGGCGCCGCCGCAGCTCCGACCCCCTCGGTGAGAGCGGGGCACCTGGGGAGGGCGGGGACACACCTGGGGACACACCTGGGGATGGGGACACACCTGGGGATGGGGACACACCTGGGGATGGGGACACACCTGGGGAGGGCTGGGACACACCTGGGGAGGGCTGGGACACACCTGGGGACACACCTGGGGATGGGGACACACCTGGGGAGGGGTGGGACACACCTGGGGACACACCTGGGATGGGGACACACCTGGGGAGGGCTGGGACACACCTGGGGACACACCTGGGGACACACCTGGGGATGGGGACACACCTGGGGAAGGCTGGGACGCACCTGGGGAGGGCTGGGACACACCTGGGGACACACCTGGGGATAGGGATACACCTGGGGAGGGATGGGGGACACACCTGGGATGGGGACACACCTGGGATGGGGACACACCTGGGGAGGGGTGGGAGACACCTGGGGACACACCTGGGGACACACCTGGGGATGAGCCCAGGGGGCTCTCGGGGTTTTGGTGGGAGACCCAGTGACTTTGGGGGGGCTCAGGAATCCGGGGGGCTCCTCCTCGCCCTGGAGGACACCCCCAAAGCGACCCCAGAGCCCCCTGAAGCGAACACCTGCGCAACACTCGCACCGTTTGTACCTTGTTGGGGGTTTACGTTTGTTTTAGGGACCACCCCCCTCTTTTTAACCCCCAGAAGCCCCCGTGACCCCCCAAACCTGCTGTGTGACCCCCCCAAACCTGCTGTGACCCCCAAACCTGCTCTAACCCCCCCAACCCGCTGTGCCCCCCCAACCCGCTGTGCCCCCCCAACCCGCTGTGCCCCCCCAACCCGCTGTGCCCCCCCAACCCGCTGTGCCCCCCCAACCCGCTGTGCCCCCCCAACCCGCTGTGCCCCCCCAACCCGCTGTGCCCCCCCAACCCGCTGTGCCCCCCCAACCCGCTGTGCCCCCCCAACCCGCTGTGCCCCCCCAACCCGCTGTGCCCCCCCAACCCGCTGTGCCCCCCCAACCCGCTGTGCCCCCCCAACCCGCTGTGCCCCCCCAACCCGCTGTGCCCCCCCAACCCGCTGTGCCCCCCCAACCCGCTGTGCCCCCCCAACCCGCTGTGCCCCCCCAACCCGCTGTGCCCCCCCAACCCGCTGTGCCCCCCCAACCCGCTGTGCCCCCCCAACCCGCTGTGCCCCCCCAACCCGCTGTGCCCCCCCAACCCGCTGTGCCCCCCCAACCCGCTGTGCCCCCCCAACCCGCTGTGCCCCCCCAACCCGCTGTGCCCCCCCAACCCGCTGTGCCCCCCCAACCCGCTGTGCCCCCCCAACCCGCTGTGCCCCCCCAAACCCGCTGTGTGACCCCAAACCCACTGTGACCCCCAAACCTGCTCTAACCCCCCAAACCCGCTGTGTGACCCCAAACCCGCTGTGCCCCCCCCAGGTGACACGGCCTCCAACCTGGGCAGCGCCGTGGACGAGCTGATGCGGCACCAGCCCACGCTCAAGACCGACGCCACCACCGCCATCATCAAGGTGACGAGCCGGGACCGCCCCCGGGGGTTCAGGGACCCCCCCAAATCCCGTCCCCCCCTAACGGGAGCCCCCTCCCCAGCTGCTGGAGGAGATCTGCAGCCTGGGCCGGGACCCCAAGTACATCTGCCAGAAGCCGTCGATGCAGAAGGCGGACGGGACGGCGGCGGCGCCGCCCCCGCGCTCGCCCCACGCCGCCGAGGAGGCGGC